AAGAAAGAAAGAAAGAAAGAAAGAAAGAAAGAAAGAAAGAAAGAAATATTTTTGCCTAATTTGAAGAAGGGAGAACAAGTGACAAAAGGAGAGGAGAAAGGAAGGAAGGAAGGAAAAGAAAGAAGAAAGGAAGGAAGAGAAGGAAGGAAGGAAGGAAAAGAAAGAAAGAAAGAAAGAAGAAAGAAAGAAAGAAAGAAAGAAAGAAAGAAAGAAAGAAAGAAAGAAAGAAAGAAAGAAAGAAAGAAAGAAAGAAAGGGCAGCGTGATATATATCATATTGTGGTTATGAAACAATTGAGGGCTCTTTTCCCAGGCAATAGAAATTCTGAACTTTTGCCCAAAGCGTTATGATAATTTACAGTACCAGCAAGAGAGGGAGGGAGGGAGGGAGGGAGGGAGGGAGGGAGAGAGAGGGGGGAGAGAGAGAGAGAGAGAGAGAGAGAGAGAGAACCACAAGAAAAATCATGAATAGAAAAATAACTCCTGATTAACTCCTAATAACTTGATTAGTAGTAGTGCATTTGCAGAACAGCAATACGAACCAGCAGCAGAACCAGCGTGGGCAAGTTACAAATCAGATTTAAGCCTTGGTCAGGTGTAATGGCTGTGATAGGATCTCACCTAATCTATATCTTACTGCATGCGACGGAGTCTCCAGTTACGAGCAAAACATCCTCCTTCAACCCTCTAAGGAGGAAAAAAAAAAGTTTTCTTACTATCGTTCGGAGGTTCCATTCGATGAAATCCAACCCCCCCCCCGCCCTCCGTTAAAACGTTCCCAGGAATTGCTGATTTGAACCCTTCTGCTTGCACACCCCGGATTATTTAGCAGAACCCCGGTACTTGAAATCAGCTGTAAACTTCATTTGGGCTATGAAACCCCGCACCTTTGCAAGTCCTAAACTTTTGGCTACCTTTAAAAAAAAAAAAAAGGTACATATATTTATATATTATTTCAAAAAATCACAAATCACAACTGTCACAACCCTCAGTGGATTTCTCTAAATCTGTCAGAAAGGGAGGTGGGCATTGCTTTCATTCCCAAGCCCCGCCGGGCCAACGACACCCCTCCAACCCTGAATCTCAAAAAGAAGGGGAGAAAAAGCAAAATATCACCAGCGTACCTGCCAAGTAGCTGTCCTTCGTCTGCTCACGTAACGTTCGCCTCTTTCTCCTCCCCCCAGCCAGCTTGGCAGTGGAATGCCCTTCAAATCTATGGCTGGCTGGCTTTTGTAAATGTTTTACAAGACTCTCGCCAGCCTCTCGTCCCACCCTTCATGCAAACACAGCAGCACACAGGATTTAAGGCAACAAAAGCAATGCAACCTGGCGGGCAGGTAACCCAAACAGAGCAAGGGCTTTTGAGTCGAAGGCTGCAGGGCGAGGCAACCCTAAAGGGGGAGGTAGGAAACGGATGGTCAAGAATGATTCCCACGTAATTCTTGGGCACAAAGTGGGATCGCTTCTCTCTCGTCGTTAAATGGGTTGTGAAGTCAAGGCATGTTGGACTGGGGAGGGGGAAAACCCCCATGAATAAAGAACGGGGCACAAGCAGGTTTCCTAATAAATCTACAGCCAGTCCGAAACATCTAGATAAGTTTATCAATGTTATTTAAAAAAAACAAAAACAAAACCAGGAGCCATTTATAATAAACCATCTGAAAGCTGGAAGGCTGGAGGGGAAAAAAAGGGTGAATGGGAACAGGAACACGAAACTTTCACTGACAAGATACACACAATTCCCAAGTGTGTGTGAGCACACACGTACACACACACACACACACACACACACACACACATACATGTTTTCCCGTAAGGCAGCCTGTCTTCCTTCACTGCCAGTTTTCCACATCTACCCCAAGTTAAAACTCTACCACCTTGGAGCCAGCCTTTCTGCATTCCATTCTGGTTAAAAATTACACAAAAGAGAACAGAAACTCGCCACACCGGAGAGGATCTGAAATGACAAAGTCCTCGTGGCAGGCCAGAGATCAACCTTCCCCATACTGATCTCTGCCAAAGGTGTCGGGTTTTAACCCCCATAATCCCCAGCCAGGATTTTTAAGATTGGCAGCCCAATCCACCAGGAAGGTACCAGATTATGGGAGAAGGTCTTTCTAACCAAGTTGGATCTTGTTTCAGTTGACAAGGGACCCCTTCAAAATCCAGAAGTGGTTACATTCCACATAGGGAGACATCCCAACATCATCAATGGATAAAGTTGTTATTGTTAGTTGTGAAGTTGTGTCCGACCCATCGCAACCCCATGGACAACGTTCCTCCAGGCCTTCCTGTCCTCTACCATCTTCTGGAGTCCATTTAAGCTCACGATGACTGCTTCAGTGACTCCATCTAGCCTCCTCCTTCTCTGCCGTCCCCTTCTTCTTCCTCTTCCCAGCATTCGGCTCTTCTCCAGGGAGTCCTTCCTTTCTTCTCATGAGGTGGCCAAAGTCTTTGAGCTTCATCTTCAGGATCTGGCCTTCTCAAGAGCAGCCAGGGTTGATCTCCTCTAGGACTGACCGATTGGATGGCCTTGCAGTCCAAGGGACTCGCAGGAGTCTCCTCTTCCAGCACATGAGTTCAAAGGACCTCCATTCTTTGGCGCTCAGCCTTCCTTACGGTCCAACTTTCTCAGCCATACATTGCAACTGGGAAAACTATAGCCTTGACTATAGTCACCTTTTGTTGGCAGGGGGACCTCTCTGCTTTTGACTAGGCTGTCTAGATTTGCCATAGCTTTCCTCCCCAGGAGCAAGCATCCTTTAGTAGAAATATCTATAATCCTAGCTCTAGTCAAAAGCTGAGAAATCAGAAGTGGGAAATAGAGGTATGGGAGGAACAAGAGAAGGTGAGAAGAACATACCCAGATGCATTATATTATAACTTAACGAAGATTAAGCATCCAGAAATACAATTTATCAAAAAGATGAAGAAGACCAAGCTAATTCTGATCTGTCAGCCACATCCATTGCCGTTTTATTAAATATGAGCCAGTAGTATATGGCGGCAGCCCAAAAAGCCAATGCAATCCTAAATTGCATTAACAGAGGAATGCAATCAAGATCAAAGGAGGTACTAACACTACTCTATAAAGCCTTAGTAAGACCACATCTGGAGTACAGCATTCAGTTTTGGTCACCACACTATAAAAAAGATGTTGAGACTCTAGAAAGAGTGCAAAGAAGAGCAACCAGGATGATGAAGGGACTGGAGACTAAAACTTATGGAGAAGGGTTGCAGGAACTGGGCATGGCTAGTCTAGTGAAGAGAAGGACCAGGCGAGACAGGATAGCAGCCTTCCAATATTTGAGGGGCTGCCACAGAAAGGAGGAGGGGGGGTCAAGCTATTTTCCAAGGCACCCGAAGGCCAGACAAGGAATAATGGATGGAAACTGATCAAGGAGAGATTCAACCTGGAAATAAGGAGAAACTTTCTGACAGTGAGAATAATCAACCGAATGGAAGTTGCCTTTTGCGAGCTTCATCCATAGAAGCTTTCAAGATGAGGCTGGGCTGCCACCTGTCAAAAATGGTGTAGGGTCTGCTTGGGTGGTGGGTTAGAGTAGATGACCTACAAGGTCCCTTCCAACTCTGTTAACCTGTGCCTATATCGGTTGAAATTCACAAACTCTAGCTAATCTACAGTTCATCTCAACTTAGACGTTGACATCCTCTAAGTCTCCTCCTGGGAGCCACAACGGATAACTGACGGAGCTGATGGAAGTTGTAGTCTGATGCACAAAGATGGGGATGTGGCTTGAGCTTACTCCAAGCATCTGCCCAGCTTCCTTCATGCTCTCCAAAGCTCCTTCCCTCCCTTGTGAGATTGTTGCCATATTTAAGCGACAAAACTATTCCCAAGCAAAACAAGACTCCCACTGCATTCCAAAGCTATTATCACAGGGACACAAATAGCCAAAAGGTAATTATTAAGAAGGCCAAGGGTGGAGAGTCCTCTGACCTACTGAAGAGTTGAGTTTTAGACGTCCTCCTTGACGCAGTGCACAAACCCTCCTGAAGTCCTGGAAGACTGCTATCATGTCACCCGTAGTCCTTCTCTCTATTGGACTAGATATGCCCATTTCCTGCAACTGTTCAATGCATGGTTTATCCTCCAGTCTCCTGATCATCTTCATCGCTCTTCTCTGCATCCTTTCCAGGGTTCTCCACATTTTTATTTTTTGCACCACTGTGTCATGATGGCTCAGTGAATGCAGTACTGCAGGCTACTTCTGCCGGCTGCTGGCAGTTTGACAGTTCGATCCTCGCCGGCTCAAGGTTGACTCAGCCTTCCGTCCTTCTGAGATCGGTCAAACGAGGCCCAGATTGTTGGGGGCAAGAGGCTGACTCTGCAAACCGCTTAGAGTGGGCGGTAAAGATTATGAAGTGGTATATAAGTCTAAGTGCTAATGCTATTGCTATGTGAGCCGTGGTGGCGCAATGGCTAGAATGCAATATTGCAAGCTAATTCTGCCGGCTGCCAACAGTTTGATCCTCGCCGACTCAAGGTTGGCTCAGCCTTCCGTCCTTCCGAGGACCCAGATCGTTGGGAGCAAGAGGCTGACTCTGTAAACTGCTTAGAGAGGGCTGGAAAGCACTACAAAGCGGTATATAAGTCTAAGTGCTATTGCTATTGCCCTCATGGCAACTAGAATTTGATGCAGTACTCCAAGTCTGGCCTTACCAGTACAGCATAAAGCAGTACGATCACTTCACACGATCTTGAAACAACCTAGAACTGCATTAGGCTTTTTAGCAAGGATAGGGGTAGAAAGAAACAAGACATGGCGCCTGCTATCGCCTAAGGTTGCTACAGGGATGAGAGCTGTGAGCAGAGCAATTGCCGTTTCACTTATCCAGCAACCTATGGGCTAGCAGGCGCCCAAAAGACCATAGTAGGCCAGCTTAAAAACCCCAGATTAATTTAGAAATGAGAAGAAAGGAAAGGAGCATTAAGGAACTTGAAACTACCAAGGCCTCCTTAAACCAGGAACTGCTTTTTTTTTTTTTTAAAGGACATTGCAAGCCAGGAGTGTGTATGTTGGGGAGTGCACAGTGGCCCTTCCCTGCTACTGATTATTGTACTGGTGACATCAGTGAAAAGATAATCTCTAAGCTCACGGGTGTACATGTCCCTGCAGCAGGAAATTTTGCATATCCACAAACACTTCCTTGTGAGCAGGAACTGGGTGGCGGAGGGGACTGGTAGAGGTTGCAACCAGGAGGAGGTTAAAAACTCCAGAAGCAGGATATTACAAGCAAGATATTAGTGCTACTACGGGAGGGGAGGGAGAAAAGAGAGACAGAAATGAGAACTGGGAAGGGACATGAAGAGGAAGGCAGGAAATCTAAGCACGCACGCCTCCCGTCCTTGCAAACAGTCCTCTCCCAGGGGCTGTCCTTAACAGCACCAGCAACCATGCAAATTCTGAAGGAATATTTGCATATATATATATTTTTAAAAATCATTTTGAAAAACACCAACCAAAGGCGGAATTTTGCTTGAAAGTTTTCTCTGCAGAGAAAACTTTCAGCCCAGGGTAATTCTGCATTCTCGACGTACTGACCAACCCCTGAGTCCAACATTTCTGTTGCTAAGTGAGACGTCGGTTCAGGGAATTTTTCTCCATTTTACGACCTTTCTTTGCCCCTGTGGTTAAGTGAATCTGGCTTCCCAATGGGACTTTGCTTGTCGCAACAGGGGATTGCATGGCTCCGCAATTGTCATAAATATGAGTCAGTTGCCAAGCGTCTGAATTTTGATCGCTTGATCAAGGAGATGCTACAACGGTTGAAAGCAGGGGGGTGGACTGCAACTGGTTCGTACCGGTTCGAGCGAACCGGTTGTTAATTTTATCTCCAGTTCGGCGAATCAGCAAATCCCACCCCTGGTTGGCCCTGCCCCCCCCCCCCCCCCCCTCCCCCGGGGCCCCCCCGGGGCCCCTTTGGGTCCCGGGGGAGGGGGGGCCCCCGGGGAGGGGCGGGGGGGGGGAAAAAAAAAAAAAAAAAAACCAGGCCTCCTGGAAGTTCTGGAAGTTTCTGGAAGTGGAAGTCCAGAAACGGGCGAAAACGGCCTTCGGGAGGCTCGAAGAAAGATTCCAGAGTGCAAGGAGGGTGAAAATGCCCCCCCCCCGTGGCCCGTTTTCGCCCCCAGAGTGGTGCAGGAGGCCGACTAGGCCATGCCCAGTGTGGCCACGCCCACCCAGCAACCGGGCAGGGAACCGGTTAAGTTATTTGAAGCCCACCCCTAGTCGTAAGTGTGAAAAATGGTCACAAGTCACTTTTTTCAGTGCCACTGTATGATCATTAAACAAATTGCTATAAGCCAAGGATTATCTGTGTTCCTCTGGCTAATTTGGGCAACCTGGTTTGCATCCCGACATCTCCTACAGCAAAGCGAACATATTCCTGTGCAAAGGAGATTCGGTTTTTACAGCAGAAGAGAATCCAGAAATATTCTAGAAAAGCCACATCACTCAATGGGTGAACTATCCTAAGGCATTCAAATGGTAGAGATTATTTTCAGCTGAACCTGACTCCCCAGCGACCATGTGAAGATGTCCACGTGGTATTCTTTGCAACATCATCCAAGTGATGTTTTATTTTTTTATTTTATTTTATTATTCTGGGATAGTTTTATTTTTATTTCTCAATCCAGGGAAAGAAACCTTTTGGATGCTTCTGCTGGTCCCCTATTCAGTCCCAACCCGGTCCTAATCTGGTTTAAGATCAACCAAAATGAGAATTGTTTTGTTCATTCATTCATTCATTCATTCATTCATTCATTCATTCATTCATTCATTCATTCATTCATTCATCCCAGGAGCCGAGTGATATATTGTGGGGTCCTTAGTGTGGCTGAGTTTGGTTGTTTTCTTGCAGATGTTTCATTACCCAACTAGGCAACATCATCAGTGCTACAAGGGAGTGGGGTTTGGGAGGAGGAGGACTGTGGGGTCCTTGGTGCTCGCTGAGCTTGGCGGTTTCCTTGCAGATGTTTCATGACCCAACTAGGTAACGTCATCAGTACTAGAAGGGAGGGGTGTTTGCAGAGAGGAGGAGGAGGAGGAGGACGACGACTATGGGGTCCCTGATGCTCGCTAACTTGGTGGTTTTCTTGAAGACGTTTCATGACCCAACTAGGTAACATCATCAGTGCTAGAAGGGAATAGAGGGAATAGAGTTTGTAGAGAGGAGAAGAAGGAAAGGGAAAGAGGAGGAGAAGAAAGATTATTACTGTGGAATCCACAGTACAAACCCAATGTGGTTTGTAGGGAGGAGGAGGACTTATCGGGTCCTTGGTGCTCTTTGAGCTTGGTTGTTTTCTTGCAGACATTTCATTACCCAACTGGGTAATATCATCAGTGCTACAAGGGAGTGGGGTTTGTGGGGAGGAGGAGGAGGAGGAGGAGGAGGAGGAGGAGGAAAGGATCATGGGGTCCTTGGTGCTCTCTGAACTTGGTGGTTTTCATAAAGACGTTTCATTACCAAACTAGGTAACATCTTCAATGTTAGAGGGGGAAAGGGTTGGCTCTTTGTTGATATACTAGTGACTTGCCCTATCAGTGTAGTCGGAGTGTTCTTGGTGGTTCCTTGATAAGCCAATCAAAAAGCCAGAAGACCACAATATCTCCTGATCAGCAATCAACCGCCAGGTAAGCAGAGATTAAAGTGAACACCAAACCAACAACCACAAAGTTAACAACTCCCCAGTCAAGGAACTACCAATTCAGATAAACAACCTAAAAAGTAAACAACAGCCTAACCACCATTTTCACCAAACACTGATAGGGCAAGCCACTAGTATATCAATAGAGAGCCAACCCTTCTCCCCTCTAACATTGATGATGTTACCTAGTTTGGTAATGAAACGTCTGCATGTAAACCACCAAGTTCAGAGAGCAATGAAGCAATGGAACCCACAATGAAAGGTGGAGCCCTAATTGGTAATAAATAACATTTTCTTGATCGACAGAAGGTGCCAAATTCAGTCCTTGGACTTTCTTGATAAAACTGGCAAACACTGCAGAAGGAACATATCGCTCCACACCCTCAAATTCCTGATAAGAGGCAACCTATTTAGGTAACAATTAATATTTATTGTTTTATGGTATCATTTTACACTTCCCAGAGCCATTTTCCCTGAGATGGGTGGCTTTATAAATTTAATAAGTATATAGCGAGGTGGCTCTGTTATGATGAACAACCCTCTGTTCTTTTCTTTTCTTGCTTAGTTCTGCCTTTAGAGTTTTTAATGTCTTTTAAAAATAATTATGTATAATGGTTTTAGGTCATTGTTATTTTATCGTTATTGTTCTATTGACCGGTATGCTGCCCAGAGTCGCTTGTTGTAAAAAAAAGGAATCCATATAAATTCGATTAATAAATAAAATAATCTTCCTGTATTTCTACGATTTGTCTGGACAAATCATATGAAATTGCCAAGCTTTAAAAAAAAAGAAATATTTAGCCCCAAATATTTCATATGTTCTTAAAGAGGTAAGAAAGATGGGTCAGTGAAATAGCAAGATAAAATTCACACCTCACATTATTCTTTGATCACTGACAAAAATGCTAAAGAAAGTCACACTGACAGGAACTCCAGACCCCATATGAAAAGAGTGATCTGTCCCCCAAAATAGTTATGTCCAACTTCATAGCCGTGGTCCTTCAACAGCATCTCTTCAAACCACGGTGAGGACCTCTGCACCCCCTAGTCTAGATAGATCTTTATAACAGTGGTCTTTCAATGGGATCTCTTCAAACTCTTGGTGAGGTCCTCTGCCCCTTGAAGTCTAGGTAGACTTTATAGCAGTGGTCCTTCAACTGCAATTCTTCAATTGGTGAGGACCTCTGTATAGGAAGATCTTTGCTTGCTATTACATGGTTCCTCAACTAATAACACGACTGACAACTCTGCAAATACTGCTGAGGTCAAATCAGGTCAACTCCATCTCTTGGACTTTCTGCCTTTACCCTGAGGCCACCACAGTTGGTTTTAATCCCCGCTGAAGCTGGTCGAACCCCAGAGTTCTCCAGCTCACTTTCATCTTCTGTTTCATGCTGTTACTTTTATTACCGATTGTTTCTAAAGATAATAGAGGCTTCCCTGATTTTAACCCCAGAGATGCCATGTTTAGTGACCGGTCTCAGATCCACTTGGGTCAGCCAAAATCCCGAGCAGAAAAACATCTCCAACATTGAGTTTCTTTGGTCGCTAAAAGTGGGTTTTGTTTTTTTGTTTTTGCCCTCCACTCTGTTGACATTGTGGTTTTAATTCTATATAGGGTTTGGCCACGCCGGACAAATTTCTGGGAATTTGTCCCTCAAAACATCTGGAGAACCCAGATTGGCAAAGGTTCCATTAGTTAATTGTACTTGATCTTCAAGCAACTATTGTTTGCACAACCTCTTGCAGAAGAAGAAAGATCTGTTTTTAATTTAGACATTCAAGAGCTCTGTTGATCGAGGCTGAATTTTCATCTCCAGGGGCAGGTAGAAAAATTATATACCCTGAAACTCAGGAATTGCAGAAAAGCTGTTTCATAACCTCTCTCTTTCTCCAGAAGCCACCAAACCTGTTTCTACCGGTGCTTTAGTGTTGCACCATCATGCCACGTAGGGTCATACTAAGAGCAAGTAAAATATTTTAAATGATTGAGGCCGGTGGAGAAAAGCAGACAACCCCCACTTTCTGGAAAGTTCAAACTTTGCCAAACATTTCTGTCGTATTTTGGAAAGCAATGTAACCACGCTGTGACTTGCTGTAATAGTAAGACAGGTGGGTCCTCAATTTACAACCACAACTTGCCTGAAACCTACAGTAAAGGAAATGCATATTTAATTATACCTGTATTAACTGCAGCTAGAATTGTATTTGCACAAAATTGGAAAAGTGATAAGATTCCTACAGATGAGAATGGGATGAGGAAAATATTAGAATGTGCAGAAATGTAACAGATTAACGCTTGCTATAAAGGAGAAAGAACCAACTGAATCTTATATGACACGGGAGCTATTTCATGGAGGGTTGGAGAATAAAAACAGAAGTGAGAAATAAATGGAGATGAGTGAAATAAAGAAGATATGTTAAGATAGAGATGTAAACCATATGATTACTATATATGATTGTTAAGATTACCATGACTAATATAATATTATATTTGTGGAGGGGGCAATGTGTTAACTCCTTGTTGTGTTTTGTTTATTGTATTTTTCGGGATGTGATTTTTTTTCAAGGGGGGACGCCTGTCAGCTTTGGAAGCCATACTGAGACCAGATGCTCCCATGCTGCCGCATTTTGAGCCTGGGAAAATGGGAGGGGGGAATTTCTTGGAGTGTATGTAGTTAGGCATAATAACATTCTTTTTCTAATTCAAGGTCATGTTAGTTTGCGCATAAGTGAGAGGAAGTCTTAACTTGGGACGGATGGGGATTGGGACATGTGATGTGATGATGGGTGCAGGGGATGGATTTGTAGTTTTTACTTATTGCAAGGAAGGCTGGAACTTTCAGATTCGGGATTCCTCAGTTGTGCCAATTTACTATCCAATAAAAAAAGAACTTTTGAGAAGATGCCTGTCTCGACGTTATTTGTTGGAGTGGAGGTTTTCTGGAGCGCTGACAATATTTTCATTAGAAGATATATTAAGAGGAAGAAATGAATAGTTTTAATTGATTATTAATATTGTAAGATTAGAGAATGATTATCAGTGTAATGAATATTGTAAATTTGGATTGTAATATATACAGAGACATTAATTAACATACCAGTTAATGAACATTTCAGCTTTAACCACAACAACACAAGAGAGCACAACAGATATAAACTTAATGTAAACCACTCCAAACTTGATTGCAGGAAGTACGACTTCAGCAACAGAGTGGTCAATGTCTGGAACTCACTACCTGACTCTGTTGTCACCTGCTCAAACCCCCACTCTTCTACCCTCAAACTAACCTCTATTGACCTCACCCCATTCCTAAGAGATCTGTAAGGGGGCGTGCATAAGCGCACAATTGTGCCTACTGCCCCTGTCCTATTGTCCCCAATTATTAGTTCCTATTTCTTGTATTTAAACTTAGGTTTATTCTTATTTCTATTACATTGTAAGCATTTGACAAAAATAAAAATAAATAAATGAATAAATAAACATTTGCACCCAGATGACACACTGATTAATGGAAGAGGATACGTTCAAGTTAAAAAATATATATAAAAACTTATTTTAAAAAAACCAACAACTTACGACCACAATTTAGGTTGCTAAGTGAGAACTTGGTTAAGGGAGTTTTGCCCCATTTTCACACTTTTCTTGCCACCATTGTCAAACATCCAAAGATAAATGACTTGACCACGGGGATGGTCTCATCAGTGTGAAAAATGGTCATAAGTCCCTTTTTCCCCGATGCCATTGTAACTTTGAACAGTCACTAAATGAACCATCGTAAGTTGAGGACTATCTGTAAGTCGACCCAGGTAGGTATTTGGGGAAAGGTGAGGGGGAAAAACAGACATTGGAGCAAATGGGCTTATTTAAAAAGCCAGGTTGCCCCTACTCCAATCAACAATCTCAGTTTAGAAGTGAAATATTTATACAAAAAATAAATATGTTTTATTTTTCTTGAGAATTAAGAGCTTCTGTTCATTTCCATGGGATAAATCCAGAAAAAAAACAGGGGGCAACCTGACTGCTAAGAATTAAACTTCATCATCTTCTTCTCGGATATATCACAACAAATAGGAGGATGTGTGGAATTATCCCAGTTAATTAGGTATTCTTAAGTCACTGGAGCAGAAAATGACACACACCGGACGTTTCCTAGATTTACAACCGCCCAAACATTATGCCCTGCAAAGCAATAATAATTCGAGATAATTGTTCGTTTGAGGCTAGTGGAAATGGAGAAGGAAGTTGTTTACTGAGCAGAATAATTAATATTTTGCCAGCGTAATTTGAACCAAGGTAAGCCTGTGGCTTTTTTTCTCTAGGCTGCCAAAGAACAAAGAAAGACAATTGGGCCTGGTGGTTAAAGTCCGGGGATCGAAAGCAGGAGGTCACGAGTTCTAGTCCTGCGTTAGCCATGAAAGCCGGTTGGGTGACTTTGGGTCAATCACGAGAAGATAGTGAGTTCTAGTCCCGTGTTAGGCATGAAAAGGCAGTTGAGTGATTTTGGCTTAATCACTCTCTCTGAGCCCAACCCACCTCATGGAGTTGTTGTGGGGAAAATGGGAGGAGGAAGGGATGTTGGATATGTTTGCCACCTTGAGTTATTTGCAAAAATAACAAAGGTGAGAGATAGATGGTAGGTAGACAGACAGATAGCTAGATGATAGAAAGATAGATAGAAAACGATAGATAGATGATAGATGATAGGACATGATATGATATGATATGATATGACAGATAGATAGATTGACAGATACAGACAGACAGCAAGATAGATATAGATGACAGGTGAATATATGGATGATAGGCAGGCAGGCAGGCAGACCCACACAAACACATATACATGTGTATGTGTGTGTGTACACAAACACACATATATGAATGGTGATAGATAGAAATATAGAAAAATAGACAATTGATAACTAGATAGACAGATGTGGATGGTAGATAGGGATGATAGATAGGGATGATTAGATGGGGATGAAAGATAGATGGATGATAGATAGGTAGATAAGATAGATAGATGGATGATAGATATGATATAGATAGATAGATAGATAGATAGATAGATAGATAGATAGATAGATAGATAGATAGATAGATAGATGATAGGTAGGTAGATATGGATGATAGATAAATAGATAGATAAACTATGAATGATATAGGAGGCCTCCAGAATTCCTCAGCTGCCAAAACCAGAATCCGTCTCCTACAACAAAACTTCTGAAGAACAAACAACAACAAAATCTTCCTTATCTAAAACATCTGAATTAACCCCATGCCAAGCAAAATTCATGAACATTATGGGCTGCTCGTTCCTGAGAAGACGGCCAACACATCAAAGGCCTTGGACGGGGCCCTCACAGCCGAGCACTGAAAACAGAGGCAGAAAGAGACTCGGCAAAGCATCTCCAAATGGCCCGTCCCCTTGACTCTAAAAACAAAATGTCGGCTCTCTGATCAGGAAAGTCCGGGTTCCCCTTTATGGCTTTCAGTTCCAGTTCAGCAGCTTGGGACCTGACCATCTTCGGTGCAGGACGAGATGGAATGGTTGCAATCCGAAGGTCCAACAGGTTTTTCTTCTGGTTTTAAAATGAATATTTTAAGATAGCTGACCTGCCATTATTATTATTATTATTTTGGTTTCATTTTGTAGGCTCACCAGGCTTAGGAGTTACAAATAAGATTCTATACTTCTATATTTACTTATACAAATCTCTCTCTCTTTCTCTCTCTCTCTCTCTCTCTCTCTCTCTCTCTCTGTATCTATCTATCTGTATCTGTGTATCTGTATATCTATCTATCATCTATCATTTATCATTTATCTATCTGTGTATGTGTATGTGTATGTGTATCTGTCTATATTTCTATCTATCTGTCTGTCTGTCTATCTGTCTGTCTATTTTTCTATCTTTTTTTAAATTTTTTAAAAACAAACTTTATTGATTATAAAACTAAAATATCAAACAAACACATACACAACACACAGAAGAAGAAAAAAAAGAAATAGGAAAAAAGAAAATGATTGAAAACTAACAATTCTACTATTGACAGTCTATGGTTCCTTGTTTGTTATCAATATTGGTGATATATTTACAAATACATCTTATTGCGAATATATAATTATGATTTACATTTTACGTTATTTACTAATATATTTTCTATTTTTGTTCTATCCAGTCATACCAGCATTCCCAGCTTCTATAATATTCTGATGTTTCTTTTTCCTTAAGTGCTAAGGTTAACTTGTCCATCTCTGCACAGGCTGTTATCTTCTGAATAACCATTTCCTCTGTTGGAATATCTGCTTGTTTCCAACACTGTGCAAAGGTTATTCTGGCTGCAGTGAGAATATGCAGTATTATATATTTGACATTTTTAGAAATTTATCTATTAAATATCCCCAATAGGAAGAATTCTGGTTTTAATTCAATTTCCTCCGCCGTTATTTCCTCTAACCATTTTTTTATTCTATGCCAGTATCTTTGGGCTTCAGTGCAGGACCACCACATGTGAAAGAATGTTCCCTGTTTCTTTTTACATTTCTATCTTTCTATCTGTCTGTCTCTGTTTCTCTGTCTCTCTATCTATCTGTATCTCTATCTATCTATCTATCTATCTATCTATCTATCTATCTATCTATCTATCTACCTATCTATCTATCTATCTATATCTAAACACACACACTTCTTTATTCTGATTTAAGGAAACTAATTATAACTAGAAACAGAGTTGCTACTTTTTAATTTCAGTAACACCTAGCAAAGGTGTCTCTCCACCCCACCTCTTTTCCTGGAAATAAATTAAGCCACTCAATTAAAAACTCCTATGAAGACTTCAATGTGCCAAGTTAAACAACCTATTTCTTGAGCAAAAGTTTAAGTGAAAAAAAAAAGTTAAATCGTAACAAGCCAGGAGTTGGAGCTTTGTAATCACATTTAAACGATTTATCTCATCGCCTGGCAGCATCTGTGGGAACGTCATCTGGACCTAGGCAGCACGTAGGGTAGGCTCAGACCTGATCAATATTTGCATGGGAAGACTACCAGGAAATCTTACCTGGACCCCCTTTGAGGCATGGAAACCAGCTGGGTGACTCTTGAACCAATTGTCAGAAGACAGTGAATTCTGGTTCCGCCTTAACTGGCTGATTTTGGGCCAGTGGCCAAGCAACTGCGAGTTCTAGTCCTTGCCTTAGGCATGAAGGCCAGCTGGGTAACTTTGAGCCAGACCATGTCTCTCAGCCCAGCCCACCTCACAGGGACGTTGTGATGCAGAAACAGGAGGAGAAAAGAGTCTTTGATATATTTGCCACCTTAAGTTGTTTATAAAAATAATAAAGGTGGGATATCATCATCCTCTTTTAACGACCCCATAATCCCTTG